CTCTAAATTAAAATGAGGGTTCTTGTGGCCGTGGAGGTGGCGGTGAGAGGCGTCGCCGCCGTGGTCGGCGTCGGGGTAATCATTCGACGGGAAGAAATTAGAGAGGGGAAGAGAGGGGAGAGGAAGTGAAGTGGAGTTGGCAGGTGGATTAGAAGATACCACGAGTTGGTCACGTGGAAAATGGGCCATCGCCTTTTCTTCTGCCTGAGTCGATTGCAACGTAGGCGAACCCAGGTGTTTTGTTCGTGGCTAATTGGATATGTTATTATTATTATTATTATTATTTATCGACACTATAAAATTTTTTTTTATTCTATGCCTACTTCAACTTTATAATAAGGGATGAATTTAAATGGGCCAAGAGAGAATTTAAAGGAGACTGAATTATCATTGAATTAAATGAGTGCCTTTGCACTCGCTGGTAAAATATTTAGAAAATTTTAAAGATAAATATAAGTCAAGGAATTTCTAGAGACCAATTCTTAATCTGCACCTAAGGAAAGTCTTAAGACTCCCCTTGGTGACCAATTACTCTAAGGGTCTGTTTGGTTGGAAGTAAAATGTTTTCCTTGGGAAAATATTTTCCGTGGAAGTAATTTTCTATGAAAATCATTTTTCTTTCATCATTTTCAGGTGTTTGGTTAGCTTATTGAAAATATTTTATTACTTCATTTTTCTGGTGTTTGTTTAACTTTTGAAATATTTTTACTTTTATCTCTATCTTTACTTTCTACACATTATAACTACATACTTCTTTCCATGCAAAATAAGAAAATTTATCTCATTGTTTAACTTTAAAAAATCTTGGAGAAATGTATATATGAATAAAAAATATCTCCTTAAGCAATAAACAAATTGCTGGCCATTTAGTGGCAAATATCAATCATTTGCAATGCTTATTGTGACATATATCTTGCACTCTTACTGCTGAAAGTTCTCTAGAAAAGAATGTCCCTATTATACATAATTAATTACTAGCATAGGATGAGCAGGATGAGGTTTTTTTTTTATTTTAAATATACTAGGGGGAGGGTTGGGTTGGGTTGGGTTGGGTGGTATGGGGGAGGGAGTGTAAGGAAGAGGTCTTGAATTTGAGTTCTCCTGTTTACATTTTTAAAAAAAAAAGGAACATACTACAAGATATTTTCAGTAAGTTTGGAACATACTATAGGCGAGATGCATGTATTTTGGAAAATAACTTCAGTGAGTTTGGAAGGGAAGTTGTTTTCCATAAGATGAGTGAAAATATTTTACATAGGAAAATGTTTTCAGTAACTTTTGTGCAACCAAACACGGGAAATTAGGAAAATATTTTCCTGGAAAACATTTTCACCCGAAACAAACGGACCCTAAAGGTAATTGGTTATCATTAAGCTATCTAAAATGGCATAATTTGAAGGAAATGGTCTATGTAACGGAACCAAGGAAATGTCAAGAATATCCTTGATTAAAAATAAAAATGGATGAAATGGTCAAATTATATAAACTTAATATGTACGATACTTTAACCCTTTATAGTTTTATGTTTTACGACATAACTCTCTTATAATTTAGTGCTCTGTTATAGTTTTCAAAAAATATATACAATTCCCCTGTGATCATTAATAATTTTCAATTTCACAAAGGGATACCATTGACATTTTAGTTGACTCTGTTACGGAGTGTAAATTCCGTGATTTTGATACTTTAGTCTAAATTATAAGGGAGTTATATATAGTTTTTCAAATCACAAGAGAGTTATACGAGAAAGCGCTAAACTAAAGGAGGTAAAGTGTATTTTTCCTAAGCCATAATCATAAGCCAATGTGTAGTGTACTTGACCAGACAAGGAGAAACACCTCTCAATTCATTCGTTCCTTTAATTCCAAAAGAAAATTAAGCAGTAAACTTAATTTGACGAAAACAAAATTAAGGAATCAAATTTAAATCATTTTTGCAAAAATGACAAGTTTTATTGGGATTCATGATTGGAGTTGGAAATAGCCCCACATCTCTTGTTATGGTCCGATCTGGTCATTTCCTTTTCTCTGTTGTTACAATCTATCTATTTCCTTCTTCTAATTGAAAGCTAATGAAATCTGCCAATTGGAGAAATGCAAATTAGCAAACGCCAAGAGAAACTGTCAAATCGCAAACGTTTGTTTGGATAAGAATATAACACTTTTTGTGATGTGATGTATGTGAGATAAAAATGTGATTGGGAATTGTGTGTATGATGCAAGCAAAACAAAATCTGAAATTTTTATTCCAAATTCTTGTTGTCCAAACAAATGCCTGTGTGCTACATGTTTTGGTGAACCACCCAATTGCTACACGGCACTGATAGCTCTGTTACCGTGTTGGTTACTATTTAGTGTATTTTTCATTTCAAATTTACCCTTTTCTTGTGATTTCTTAATTGTCATAATACACCAAATTTATTGCTTAACTTTCGTAAATTGATCAATGTAGTTCTTTAATGAAAATTTAAGAGTTGATAACAAGATTAAAAAAAAAACTCTTTAACAATTTTTGTATCATTGGCTCGGACAAAAAAAAGTTTAAATTACTTAAAATTATGATTGATTTATAGTGCTTTTAAAAATAACTTGCAATAATTTGTAACCATGAGAATACCTTTTTGGGCTAACTTAAAAATAATACAGACAAGTTTATTTATATATAAATTTTAGCATGCTGTATCTTTTTATTTGTCAAGCCATCGATTTAGATAAAAAAAAATAAAAAATTCAAAAATGTGTAAATGATTTATAAATTAACTCAAAACACTTTATAGTAAAGAAAATATTATCTTTGTAACTTGCAAAACTTCGATAAACTTTCAAATATATACTCTTGGCATTTTAAAAAAAACACTACTATATTTTGTCACATCAAAATAAATCATTATACTTTTTTTCATTTGTTATTAATATACTCACGTTTTGGTAATAAAACAACAAAAGGACAAATTTGGAATGAAATTATATTTACTCTCTCAAAATAAATTTTTAATATATTTTAGAATAGGTTGTAAATGATATAAAAAGGTTAAAGTAAGGGAGGCAACCGAAATTTTATGAAGTTCGAGAGTGCCAAGTGAAACTGTCAAAAACTTCGAGGAAGGTTTCTGAAATTATCCCATTTTTCATTTAGTTGGTTTAAACCAATATTTGGTATACAAATTACGCCAAATATTGATTTACTGCAACCGAGTAGAAAAATACATAAAATATTACAAGATTATAGTGTATTAGGGGTGTAATACATAAATATATAATAGAAGATAATCCATTGATGAGGTATATTTTTGATTGAGTATTTCTTGTGATTCTAGTTGGATTTGCTAAACAACAGTTAAAAGAAGGGTTAATTCCACTTTGTCCCCCCAAACTTTAGGCGATTATCCACTTAAGTCCCTAAACTTCAAAATGGGACACTTAAGTCCCAAAACTTATAAATACCTCCCACTTAAGTCCCTGAACTTATAAAATGGAACACTTAAATCCCTAAACCCTTATAAAATGGGACACTTCGACCACCAACGGCATTCAGGATTTGTTAACAATTTTTCTTAAGTGGGAGGTATTTATAAGTTTAGAAATTTAAGTGTCCCATTTTGAAGTTTAGGGACTTAAGTGGGTAATCGTCTAAAGTTTGGGGGGACAAAGTGGAATTAACCCGTTAAAAGAATATAGTAGATTTTTTGACAATGCTCTCTTTTTTTTTTTTTTTTTTTTTTTTTTGTGCGTGTTAGCGTATATACAATTGTACGTTAAAAAAAAAATCGTATGTAATTCATAGACATTACTGTCCCATATTGACATTTATACTATACTGGTCGCTGATCTTGTTATAATCAGGCTTTTTGCAGCAACTGTGGATAAAGTTTATTGCAGAAATGAACAACTTGATGCGAATTTGATGTTCAAAGATCATACCAATACTTGATTTCGTGATATAAGTACTCCGAAATGAGTTTTGTTCTTCACCCATTGACAATGGAATCCGAGTATAACAAAGTTCAGATTCTTTTAGCCACTTCCATGGCTCCTTTCGAACATTTCTTCTCACTTCTTTATCACTACAAAGATTTGCCACAAATCCATGACAGTCTCTCTCCAACAAAGTGCAAAAGACAAGCCGCACCGGATCTTCATCTAACAATCAACAGCAAATGCAGAAGAATTCTCAATTCTGCATCCATAGTTGTGTATAAATTAACTTCCTCATTATCATTCCTAGCCCTTGTAAGCTAAGCTCGCGCGCGCGCGCGCGCACGCGCACACTTACACTTATATATTCCTCAGTTTTGGGTACATGTAAACTTGTAAAATGGCCAAGATGACTAATGCATTACCGGCAAGTTGGCGTTGGCAGATGATTCAGATTCATGAGGCTTCCATGCAAATGGCAACGAGCAGCAGCTGGTGGCAGCAAAATGCTGGAACACTAACCTTCGACGACCTCCCATTTGATCATCATCGTTTGCTTGATAATAATGAGGTCATTGCCCACAACTAGGGACGCAGACTGTTCTGCGAACTCACTGATTGCCTCCTCATCGTCTGCTTTTTTTGCAGCGACAGCACTGCTTCATCATCAAGTGCGATTAGTAATGTTGAAGCGATGAAGCACTAAACACTCCATTTGAATACCTATCTCATCGATTGCCAATCTCTCTCCCATTTTCATGTGTTTTTCCTGTTTGGCGGTTGCTTTTTAATAAATCAGAATCATATGATTCTGCCTTGAATGTTGATCTCCATAGTGGAACTATCCTAGCAATTGCTTAGTTCTTCCATGCTGTTAGTTCCCGAAATTGAAATGATAGATCTTTATGCTGTCATGCAGTTGTAGACCATCTCGTTTTAACCACTCTGCTTCAACAAATGTCGTATCTAAAGTGACAAATATACCTTCGTATCAGCAGACCCATCATCCTTTCTTTTTTTTTTTTTCGCTTATTATGTTGACTTAGAGCACCAAATAAATAGAAAAAACCAACAAATCTCTGCTCATTACACCAACAATCTGTGTTATCTTTCACTCTTGAAGTCGCCGATTTTGGGAAAATTATTCCTGTCTCCAGCTTCCTTGCAGTAAATAACGTATTTAAAGCATGTAACAGTACAATACAACTTAAACAGTCATGGCACCTCAAGAAATGCCCGTACCTTCACATTGAACTTCCTGACCAAACAATCAGAAAAAAGGAAAATAATCCCCACTTTTTTCACTGAGCCTTTAACCACAAACATCAAAACCAATTCTCCAGAAGTTGCACTTCAATCTGATTTTGAAAAACTTCAGGTCCTTGGCTTTGGCAGCACAGGTATTATTTACAAAGCACGTGACAAGCAAACATCAATAATCTATGCTCTAAAAATCGTCCGGGTGGTCATCCTGATAAAGAATATGAAATCTATCGTTCAATCAGCTCTCCTTCTGTTGTTTGTTGCCAGGGCATCTTTGAGGAAACCATAGGTGAGGTTGGGATTCTTTTTGAGTACATGGATGCTGGCTCACTGGATAATCTTTTCAAAACCAATGGTTCACTCACTGAAGACATTATCGGCAGCATAGCTTTCCAAGCACTCACTGGACTTGATCATCTACATGCAAGAAAATTTGTTCATTGTGACATCAAGCCAGTAAACATTCTACTTGATAAACAGATGAATGCAAGATTACAGATACTGTAGTTAGTAGTGAAGTTACTGGCTCAGATGATTCATGCAAAACCTACGCATGTCCTTGTGCTTATATCAGCCCACAAAGGTTTGATCCCTATCCCCATGGTTGCAATCCCTGTGCAGTCTTGTAAGGAGCTTGGGTTTGATGCCAGCAGGGCTGTATATTTGATAATCCGTACTTGAAGCCTGGACAGAAAGCAGAATCAACAGCCCTCATGTCTGAGATAAGCATGGAAGAACCTCCAAGCTTATTAGATCATGCATCATAAAGTTTTCAAGACTTAATCCAATGTGCTTGCAGAAGGAATTAAATAAGAGATGGCGTGTTTCCCAGTTATTAGCTCATCCCTTTGTATTGAGCAGAAGATCCAAGTCATCAATCTGATGAAGCTCATACAAACATTAGCAAATTTTTTTCCTTTTTTTTTGGTTAACTAGACTTTATTTTAAATGTATTTGGCTTTGTATTGAACTGAATCTACCTAACTCTTTTTCTGCCATATCAGCATGTCAATATACTCTAAAGGCATACCTTTGTTGCTTTGTAGTTGCACTCAGGACCACAGCTATCTGTACGGATTTCTATTATGTATTAATGCTGTTGTTCAACACAGGTATGATAAATGATTGAAACAGTTCATATACAACACAAAGCACCAAACAAATTAGTTTGAACCCTATTTCACTCTCAAGAAACTAGAAGTTCCATGGAGCCATCACGACACCTGCAAGAAGATCAATCTACTCAGAGTAAGAAAAATATAGATATTAAACTGGTTCCAAATTTTACATTCTCATACCAATCTTCTCAATTCAAAAGCAAAAGATTAAAAACAAAAAACAGATTCTCCTTCTAGGGTTACGTAATCAGCATTATTGCATATAATAGCAACTCACAACTAAATTTTAGATGCTATAATGCTACCACCAATAAATGCAGACTTTAAATTATTAGAAGTAGCTGATAAATATTATTGTAACTTAATCATGTGCAAAAATAAAGCTAGCAGCCTAGATAGCCATTGCCACCATGTATCCTTCTCTATGATTAAGGGGCACAAAGGGACTTTTACCTGTGCATCCTCTATCAACTAACTAAGAAAGACAATATTACAGTTACACTTTGGTGATTAGTAATTTTTTGTTTTATTTTCAGCTGATAGCTCAGCTGCACCAATGGAAAGTTGGCAAATCAAAAGAAATTCTTTGAAGTATCCATGTGTACAAGAGATGAATTCATGGAAGTGGCCAAAACAAAGGCAAAAGTAATATTGACAAACTCAAGGTAAACTATATGACAGAGCTATACCTTAGATTGCTTGTTAATTCCTGAGTATACTGAAAAAAAAAATAGAAACAACAGAGATAAACTAACTTAAACAAACACACAGATGGTGCATTAAACAGTTAAATTATTTAAAGCCTTGTACATGAACAGAATCACCTGGAAGCACGTTCTTGTGTTCTTACCATGTTACCAATAATCTTGGCATGAGCAAATTCCATCCTTGAAGTGATGGAAACGCTTTATATCTCTTACCACAATCTCTCTTTGACTCAATTTACTCACATGTTTCATCAGAGAATGGCAATCCCCACATGTTCTCAGGTTCTTCACAATCCTAAGCACCACCCCAGGACCTGTGCTAATGAGCCCAAAAGCAAGTGCCAGCTTCTCACTATGGGTTCCTAATGCATCTTCCTTCTCTTCCTCTTCAATATTGTGAAGTACCCACTCAGTCTCTGGAATGTAACCATGTTCCCTAGCACGATTTATCATTTCTTCCAATTTTGAGTATATCTCTTTTGTGTGCATATGAGCTTGATCACCAGCAACAAAGCTATGTAGTTTTCCATGCACCTCCACATGACTCAATCCCGTATCTTTAGCTGCACCTTTATCTTTCATTGAAGTTCTCACTCTTTCCACTTCTTCCCATATCCCTACCCCTGCGTAAATGTTTGACATAAATACATAACTGCCTGAATGTTTTGGCTCAAGCTGCAGGAGTTTCTCCGAAACATATTTTGCCATTTCAATGTTTTTATGAGCTCGACAGGCAGAAAAGAGGGCGCCCCAAATTACAAAATCTGGAGTCAATGCCATGCATTGAATAAATCTTAAAGCTTCATCGAGTTGGCCAGCCCGGCCATATAAATCAACTATTACAGCACAATGTTTCATGGTAGGCTCAATGGAGTAGTCAAGTTTCATGCTATCAAAGAACTTAAGCCCTTCATCTACTAGCCCAGCATGAGAACATGCAGTTAAAACTGCAAGAAAAGCTACTTCATCGGGCTCTATCCCTGCAAAGAGTAAAATATGCACTTCAGTTCTCAAATAAAACAGTCAAAAGGATTAACCACATCCAAAATTCAATAAGAAAATCGTCACTGAACCTGTTAGCTTCATCTTTTCAAAGCATTGCAGAGCTTGCTCAACAGATCCATGAATTGCCCAACCCCATATCATCACGCTCCAAGTACGGACATCCTTTTCTTTTGTGTCATGGAAAACCTGACTTGCAGATTGAATTTGCCCACATTTGGCATACATGTCTATCAAAGCAGTTCCGACAGCTGCATTCAACCGAAACTTGTTGCCCAAAATATATTTATGAATCTTTATCCCAGCCTCAAGTGCCCCAGTTTTTGCACAAGCAGAAAGCACGGAAACAAGTGTTAAATCATTGGCCCTCACACCCTCCTCCTCGATCATATTGAAGAACATTTCCAACGCTTTTTCATGCATCCCATTCAGCGACAATCCATGAACCATTGTGGTCCAAGAAACCACATTCTTTTCAACCATCCCCTCGAAAAGCTCCACTGCCTTATCCACCTTGCCATTCCTAATCAGCCCATTAATTAAACTATTCCAAGACCCCAAATTTCTCTCTGGCATCGCCTCAAACAACTCCACAGCCTTCTCCAAGATCCCGTTTTTACAACACCCATTGATCACCACATTCCACAGAAGCACACTATCAAGCTTATTTCTCTCAGGACTTTCATCGAACAACTGCAACGCAAGACTTAACAACTCCATTTTCGCATACATATCAACCAAAGAAACTCTGACAAAACCATCGAACTCAAGTCCCATTTTCAAGATTCCACCATGAACCATCCCACCAAGCCATTTATCACCCAACCCCACAACTGATTTCAGCACAAATGGAAATGTCAGCCTAGATGGTCTAACATCAAGCCTCGACATAAGCTTAAAAAATTCAACCGTTTTCCTAAACCAAGAATTTTCGGTCAGGCCTCTAATTAATGCATTAAACATATAAACATTTGGGTCAGTAAAAGAATTAAAGATGTGCAAAGCATAGTCAATTGATCTCTGTGAAGAGGAGGAAGAAACTAGTTGAGTGATGATCTTACTGTTGGAAGACATTGCTTGCAAAATGAGTTGGGAATGAATTTGTTGGAGTTGGAGGATGGTTTTGGAGGCATGAATGAGAGTTACGAAATGGGTTTCAGCTTGATTTGGATTCTGAGGAATGATTTTGCTGTAAGATTGGTGAGGATTAGGGGGTGGAGAAGAAATGGGGTTTTTCTTTTTGGAGGGAAGAGCACTTTTTGGTGCCAGAACTCTCATGGCCTTTTTCATACTTTTTTACCTAAAGTTGCAAGTGTCATTTTTGCTGGATAAAGATTAAAGAGTTGCTATTCTTCATATTCAATAAAGGGGCCTAATCACACTAAAGTCCCTGTATCTTTTGCACTTTGCCCCATGGGTTCTTTTTATTGGCACTAGTCCCATACCAAAAATAGCCAAAGTTAAGAATTTTTTTCAATTCAAAAAGATGTACTGCTTCTTAGTTTCTATCATTGATTCATCATGAGCCCAGAAATGAAAATTTTTATGTTCTGCTTACTACTAAAGACATACTTAATCTAGTAATTCTGCGATTAAGCACATATTTAATATAGTGATTATTCAATCAAACACAAATGGACAAGGTAGTGTATTTTTTAAGGAATAAATGCTCGGACAAATATGGAAGCGGAAGCCTCGGCATTACTGGAGGGTATGTTGCTCTCCACAGATTTCCACTCTCTGCAGGTTGAAATGGACTCTCAGGTTCTGATGGCTATGGTGAATGGCAATGGAAGAATACCTTGGACGTTGTGGACGACTATCTCACGCATCCAAACCCTAGCGCTGGGCCGCTAGGTCACATTCTCTCACATCTATCGGGAGGCAAACGGGGTTGCCGACGCCCTGGCGAATCTAGCAAGTTCCACAGGTTTCTGTCAAAGCTTTGGTGCTTCCACACTCCCGGTCTATATACAGGGGCTAGCTCGCCTAGATAAGATGCGAGTGCCTTATGTACGTTTGGTTTAGCCCTACTGGCAAACGTTTCAGGACATCTCTTGTATGCAGTGTGTTCAGTGAATAAATTGCGGAGTGGCGTCCCCCCTCGCGTGCGAGGTTAGCCAAAAAAAAAAAAAATGCTTGGACGAAAAAAGCAAAATCAGAGAATGCATTTTGTGAATGCAACGTTTGAGAAAACATTTGTTTGGATAAGTATTATTTGGAATAATTACTGTAACACATTTTGTAATATGATATATGTGAGATAAAAAGTTGGTTGGGAATATAAAAAGGTAGATTGAAAAGCACCTTGCGATGATTAAGCAGTTCACAAGAAACTGAACTGAATGTGAAGTTTTATGCATCAAGTAATTAAAAAAGTAACAGCAACTCAGGAATTGGTAGAAAACGTTAGAGGTTCAAAATATTATTGATCAAGAATGCATTGTACATTATTAGAGTAACCTCAGCAATACAAAAATAGACACCTTGACATCCACAACTAACATTTACAAAATTGAAACAAATCATCAAACTTAATTAAAAGAAAAAAAGCTCTGCAAAATAAAGAAAAAAAAAATCTATGATTAAACCCCCGCTCCAAAGCTATCCTCCAATTCATATGAACCCTGTTTACTCCCCAAGCATTAGTCAAATGTTTAACCTCCTTCATAATGCTATTAACCTTCTCAATCACATTCTATGTAAGTAATATACTGTGATAGGTTGACCAATTTCGACATTATTCCTACAAAACCTGTTCGAGCAGCAAAATAAATTAGCCTTGAGTCAGAATATCGTGCTATGTCCTCTGCATGTTCCGAGATCATTTGGCTTTGAGGCCTCTTAGGTGAGTTTGGATTTCCCCCCTTCATGCCGATAATACTAGCGCTATTCACATTGATGCTAATCCTGTATTTCATGAGCGTACAAAACATATTAAAGTTGATTGTCACTCTATCCACGAAGCATATAATGATCATGTTATCTCTCTTCCTCATATCACCACTGATCTTCAAACTGCTGATATACTTACTAAAGCTCTCTCTCGTCATAGACACAATTTTCTGGTTGACAAATTGATGCTTTTTGATTGACCAGCATCAATTTGAGGGGGGATATCAAGGGCAATGGGATCTAGTCTACTAATTACAAAAGTCAAGATCAGCTGATTATGGTCTACTAAATTCAAAATCAAGGATAGCTGATTATGGGATCTGGTCTACTAAATGCAAAAGTCAAAGGACAGCTGATTATGGGATCTAGTCTACTGATTATGGTCTATTAATTGCACTAATCAAGGGCAGCTGATTATGGTCTACTATATTAGCTGTATATTAGCATATCTGTAATTAATATATTAGATAGGTAGATATATTCTGACCAGAAGAGAAGGTACAAAGTTTTTCTATTTAAATGGAAAAGATGCACAAAAGACGGCATTCAGTCTTTGATCTAGAAAACTTGTCATCTTGTAGTTCAGCTTTGTTCACTTAATTGAGGATTGACCTACATTCGTTTCAATTTCGAGATATGCCTTCAAAACCTGACCAGCTTGTGCATATTAAGTGTCTTCTAGTTTAACAAATATTGATGTAGGCATGTTGAAGATCATTTTGGAATCTGGAAAAAAAGATCATTTTGATATCTTATTTTTAAAAATTTCGTCCCTTATATAGTACTGTATACTAATTTAGTCCCTCAACTTTATAAAACAAAGCCAATGTAGGATCTCTAACTAAAAATTAGAAAAATTGGTCACGTGCAGGACATGTGGACCTTGAAAACAACATGCACGGTCTCTTATCTTCAAGGTTGTATCCAATTTGGTCCCTTATATGTCATTACCTATTAATTTAAACCCTCATTTCTACAAAATAAAGTTGATGTAAGACTTTTAATAAGAAATTAAAGAACGCTAATGGATTGAGCTGGTCCAATGCATGGCATATGCACCATTAAACCAAGAAGAGTAGAATAAAAAAATTCTTAAGTGTTATTCTGTTGATTTCCCTTTTCCAATTCCCCAAATCCTTAATTAGAGCCCTTAATTTATAAATCTTCATCTTTTACTGGTAATATAAAGATTATGTATGTTGTAATTATGGAACTAAAGGAGCAACCGATTTTTGTCCACCACTTTATTTTTACAATTTGGGCATCTATAATGTTGGCATTTGACAGAAGTTAAGAATATTAAGAGCTCTTATTAGGGATTTAGGGAAAATAGGAGAGGAAAATCAATGGAATTGCAATTGGGCTAGTTTTTCTTTTCTTTTTTGTTGTTTAATTCTGGTCATTTCTTAATCATGGGTACACATACCATGTAATGCGACCAGCTTTATTATGGTTCTCTAATTTCTCATTAAAAGTCTTATACTTCATTTTGCAGAAATAAAGACACATATTGGTTGGTATTAACATCTAAGAGACCAGATTAGACATGACCTAGAAGATAAGAGACAAAAATGATGTTTTCAAAGGTACACATGTTTGCCACTCATTGTGTTAGGATTTTTTAATTTTCTGTTAGAGTTCATACATTAGTTTTGTTTGAAAAAAATAAGGGACAAAATTAGTATGTAGTAACATATAAGAGACTAAATTATTGAAGACCCTAAAGATAAGAAATCAAAATGGTCGATTTCAACTTGAACTGTTCCATAATATTTGGAGATGAACTTCTTCATTCATGACTTCTTTTCTAAGCCAATGCTTACATTAGTTTTGAATAAGATGATTTGCATAGTTTACTACTTTACGCTTTTGATTTCCATATGGTTCGAGATTGGACGGTCGTGGTTTTTGGTGGATCTGGAGCATTTTTAATAAATTTCATTTCATTTCATTTCATTTAGGTTTTATACCACTGCGTTGTTGTGTGTACTGTGTACTACAGTATCGTACTGTAGTTGTTGTGTTTGGCCAAATGGGTCGATCCTCAAAAAAAAGATGATTCTTATTGTAGATCGCTTTCAATTCTTGGGCCTATCATTTCATTTAGGTTTGGACTGAAGATTTTTGGAAGAAATTTTTTGAGATAGTACTGTAGCAATTTTGTTTAGGATATAAAATTGCTACAATAATGTACATGACTTAGAATGGTGGTTGAAAAAACAGAAAATGTGATTACGAAATGTTTTTCTAATACACTGAATAAAAAATTTTTCAAAAAATTCATAGCATTTGTTTTCACCTAAGTGATCTATTTTATGAACTTGAATTTTCCGATATAAGTCAGATTGTTGCCTTGACGTATACAGGAAATCTGTTTTTTGAGTAAAAATTTAAGTTAAAGCTAAAACGGAATGTTTGACTACTTTTTGCTCTGCTGTCTCAATCCAAGAATCAAGATACTAGGACACAGTTTATTTACACTTTGACAATTGTGGCAGACAAAATTCTACCCCCAAAAAAAATTGGAAGGAGGAAATAGTCTTGGCTTCTGTTTTCCTTTCCATAGTATGGACACCATCTTTTACTCAAGTTGGACTTGTTTTCTTAGCCATCAGAATCATGTCCCCAGGAAGTTGTAGCTTTTCCGCAGTAATAGAATAGTGAAAGAGATAGACTCCAGATTTAGTAAATTAAAGGAACCAAAATAAACTTCTAACATCATTCGAATAAATTAAGCATTAAGGAGCCACGTTCAATGATCTTCCGAAAGAATCCTGTCAATGAATTCTCTCGCTTTGCAATTCGCCTCCAATGGCTCTGCTTTATGTGTGGTGATCCCTATTCCTTCAGCCAAATCAACCTCCTTTGGACCAACCCTTTGCCACTCAAAACATTGTATCAATGATCCTAAGGCCACACCAACCACGCGGTGTGCCAGGCCTGCACCAGGGCAAGACCTTCTTCCCATTCCAAAGGGCATCAGCTTGCTTGGTTCCACTTGTAGACCTTCAAATCTCTCCGGCTTGAAGCTTGTGGGATCATCCCAAACGTCGGGATCCCTGTGGATTTCCCATGCATTTACCAGCAACATCGTCCCACTTGGCAAGTCATATCCCCCAACTGTGCAATCGGCAGAAGCCTCGTGGGGTACAAGGAGAGGTACTGGAGGGATTAAACGAAAAGTCTCCATGATGATGTTGTGAAGGTAAGGCAACTTTGGTAAATCTTGTTCATGAATTAAGCGATCCTTTCCAAGATGAGTATCGAGTTCAGTTCTTGCCTTCTCCAATACGTTGGGATGGTTAAGTAGAAGAGACATTGCCCATTCCATTGTCACTGCTGATGTATCTGTTGCAGCAAATAACAGGGCCTGCATTCATAAACTATTTAGTTCTGAGATTTGCATGGATAAGTATATGGTTTAATTCC